GCGAAAGTATTCTGCCACGACGTGCCACACCGTTATACATACTGGTACTCCAATTGAAGTGGTCTGGTACTGCTCTTGGAGTCTCTGAATCCTTTCTTGTAGCTGTCTAATGTCGCTCTCAAGAGTGGTCGCGCGGTCCTTGATCTTTTTTCGATATCGCTGCATATACCCTCTATGTTGCTGTTTTAACGTCTCTACCATTGTGTTGCTTTCCGAGTCGAACGGAGCTGTATCGTTCCCCTCTATTACTGGCATGTTGATGTCTAAGCGTTCTGTCGAGGATCTGGAATGCGTTCGCGGGGAAATTCTGTCTAACGATGTGACATCGTTTGGCGCGTAGTGTTGTTTTGAGAACACATGAGTGGTATCGTTTTCTTCGTAGATTTTGGACGTTTGAGCATAGCGAGATGTAAACTTGATCCTCTGCATCACTTGTCCGATGACATCGTCGCAATAGTGCGGCCGATTCGGCAGACTCAATGACTTGTTGTCCATGCTTCTCGAAAGGTTTGACTGAGCACAATTCGTCAGGTTAACAAATGCATTTCCGTGTGGAGGATCATTTTGTGATTGTGATGTGTCACGCCATCATTGTCGTCCTCTCGGTTAAGTACGTTCGTTTGGTTTGTGACAAATTTACGAGAATTTATACCTACCATCTGCGGTTCCACGTAAGGGGAATATCACTTAGAAATTCTGGCAACCTGCCAATAGGACTGACAAGTTTATTTCTGTCACCATGGCAATTTAAAAATTGTAATGTATTGTAGCAGCTACTTCGAAACATACGTGCATGGATTTCTGCTATGAGCTTCTTCGCGACTTTGTTAAAATGGAAAATCAAACTTAGTCAATCTTTACTCTACTGTTAATCAAGAATCTCGTATGAACCTCGGTCCGAGGTCCTCGGACATTTATATACGTGGACACGGCCAATGCATTGATACACTTCAAGAATAAGTTTTAATTTGATTTGTCGGATTAGGTGGACATAACTAATCAGTCGTCGTGGGCCACGACATCCATTCGTCTCATCGCGCATTGATCATAAGACACGACGACACAGTATTCTAAACTTACTAACACTTAAAAGTCCTCACTTCAATATCCTGTCTGCATCATGCGCGCGACGTCGTTTGTTCCGCTGGCGGCCAACCTATAGTGGTGCAACGAGCGCAGGCAAGCTGTCAGTTACGATCATTGCGTCGCCACATCAGGTTCAGTCGATCAACACGTAAGAGGTAGCACCACTGGAATATGAATACGGTCTGGAGTATGTTAGATAGCGCCTCCGACAAAATAAGAAGGGAGTTTTCTTTTGAGATTGTGAAGAGGATTACAGTACGAAAGCAAGAAGAGATTCGTTTAGAGGCACGCAGCAAGATACTGATCTTGCCTCCAGCAACAGAGAAGATGATCAAGAAAGCTAGAGTAACAGTGGGTATTAGGAGCGTTCTCGTGGGCAATGAAGATCTTTCTTAATAACAAAAACAAAAACGCGCACTAAACTGATCACTTAATTTTTACGTTCATTTAGTAATTTGGGTACAGTTCTAGCTTATCCCCCCAGTGCGAAGTTAGACTCACCTATTGTCGCATTTAGATCGTTTCAGCTTCCAGTTTATACTTACCTAGGAAGGTTTACTAGCTCACTATTGCTGCTAGTGCACCGTTCGCTTTCCCAGTTCATCCAATTTCGCGCAGTGAATTGGCACTTCCGTTATATTCAATATAGTTTTTTTTTGTTTAACCTGCGGAAGCACAAAATGTGCCAATAGGTTAATCCTATGAAGAGGCAGCAGCTCTGCAGTCTTCCTCCCCATGCCACTGCTAAAA